GGCACCCCTAACCACCTATGTGCAGAGGTCCTCACTAGAACCGGTTGGCATAGATCTTTCCATGCTTTTCTAACTCTTCCTGGTCACATCAGTCAGCAGCAGAGGTGCCAGTTTAGGAAGAGCAAGGTCCCTGTGTCAAAGTTCAGCCACCCCCAGTTAACTGGAGGCCCCACCTCAAAGCCAGACCTGGCCCCAGCCAACAGCAGCCACATCAGAGGTGAGGCTGCAGAGGGGTATTAGGAACCACATCAAGGCCCAAAGAGAATCCACACAGGAGTGCCCAGGACTAGCCCAGGTCCAGGCTGATGCAACTCGGGGGAGCCAGAGTGGTGGATTGTGATGACTGGCGATTTCACAGAACGTGTCTACTTGGAAAGGTCACTTGCTTGACTTTAGGGACATAACATCAAGCAAATTCTGCTTCCTAAGGTAGTTTCAGTAGAAAATATTCTAATTTATGGTTTTCATATCGACAGACCATGTACCCTTGATTTTTAATTTGGGGAAAACTGGCCACCATGTTGTTGAGGGGTAAGACTTCTGATGGATTTATTCTCCAAGTGTGGAAACACTTGTCTCTAAATTCAATATTCCATTCCAGAACTTGACTATCCTCAGTCCAAAGCTCTTCCTCATAGCTATCTTGAAAGTTATCTGCTAAAATACAAATAAGAGTTCATTCTCAATGGCAGATTTGAAGAGAAAAGGTCCATTTTTGTAATGAATACAGTATAAGACCCAGTTACACAAAACATCTGCCTTCCCAGCTGTCCTCTGCCTGGGCTAACCTTTACATAAATTCACACTCCCTGGTCCATCCTAAGTCGGCAGTTAGGAGGGTTGGCTGGGACAGGTGATGGGAGAAGATGATTCAGCTTTGACACTGGACTTGGATAAACCATCAAAAAGTTTATTACCGTCTGGCTTGAGTAGCACCAAGAACTGAGAGAGGCATTTCCTCTTGTCTCTGCAGAAATGAGAAGACGCTGGCTCTCCTTGTAAGAACCTTGCCTCACCCAAGCTTCAATTCCAAGAACACCCTTGACGGAGCCCGTCTGACTCCCCGGTTCAAAGTGAGCTCACCTCATCCAAACTGCTGGGGAAGTCTTTATGTGGTGCTATTCATGAGGCAATTAGTCACACTAATTGTGCCCACATGAGTGTTGTGTGTCACTTTATTGTTCCTAAGTGTTCCCAATAATAAGAATAATAATGACTAGCATTTAGTAACCATTTATTTTGCACTGGGTCCTCTACTAGGGACACTTCAGTGTCTCAATTCTCCCTCCACCATGAGGTTGGTGCCATTTTTTTTTCCTCCTCATTTTTCCAGAGGGGGAAAAAAAAGACAGGAAAATAAAGCAATTTGTCCAAGGTCACATGGATAAACCACTATTGAGCCCCAGGATCTGAGTCAGAAATTGCTCTCTTCAATGAAAACATTCTACCGAAGAGACCTTCTGGCACATAGCAGGGCTGTCACAATGGATTGAAAAGTAAGCTCGGGAACAACTTAGCCTTCGCTCCTTCCACATTTTCAGACTTTCCCACTATCCTGTGTCTCCATCCTCATGCTTCAGCCTGATTATGGATCTATTCTGCAAAAGGACAAGCCCAAACCAAAGCATCCATTATAATATGGCCGGAGAGCATGTTCGCTTCAGTGTTTTAGATCCTGAAATTCGGGCAGCTGTGTTTATTCCCCCAGAAGTACTTGCAGATGTGGGGGCACATGTGGTTCAGGTTGCTGTATGCATCCTGAGACATCCAGGACCCATCTAGGGCGGGTTCCCAGTTATACTCTGAGCCCTGTGATGTAAAACCTGTCTCTACTTGAGCCACTCTGGAAGAGAAGCCAGAGGATGGAAGGCCCAGATGCAAAGGAAGCCCAAGCCCTGGTTTCTAAAGGCAATGACTTATTCTGGGCTCAATTCCTATATGTCCAGATAGCATCAACCCAACCATCCATAGTTCCCACCAGTCTGAAAATCAAAACACAGAGGTGCATCCAGTGGTACCCCAACACTGGAAAGGAGAAGCATTAGTCAGATTTTTGCCACTGAGATCAAAATGCCAATGAGAACAACTTAGAGGAGGAAAAGTTTATTTCCATTCATGGTTTCAGTCCATGGTCAGCCGATTCCATTGCTCGGGGCCCAGGGTATGGCAGAACATCATGGTATGAGGGTTTTGGCAGAAGAAAGATCAATCGAGAAGTCAGGAGGCAGAGAAGAGGTGAGCAGGAGCCACAGGGAAGATGAACCCTTGCAGGTCACAACCCCAATGACTCACCACCTCTGGCCGTGGTGCCCCTCCTGCCTACAATGACCATCATGTTAGTCCATTCAAACTAGGATGGACCGATTAAGTCACAGCTCTTCTAATCCAATCACTTACCTCTGAATATTCCTGCCTTAACACTGGAGGTTTGGGGGACACACCATATCTAAACCATAACAGGAGGGCTGGAAGAGGACCACTCCTCAGTGGGGAGGTAAGAATTGGCACACAACGAGAGACGGGCTCACAGAGGCCTCATAAAAGGAATGATGGCAGAAAGAAAACCAGGAACCATCAGCTTAACCAGCTTCCCACCAACTCTACAAGACATGAGCAAGAGTGGGGCCATGGACTGAACCATGTTCCCCTCAGATTCCTGTGTTGAAGCCCTAACTCCCAGTGGAATGGCATTCAGAGGTCCCCACCTCCAAATCACCTTGGGAAGCGATTGGGTTCAGAGGGGGGTCCTGAGTGCACGGCCATCATGCTGGACTAGGGTCCTTATAGGAAGGGACACCAGAGAACTTCCTCTCTTTCCAGTGAGATGGTAGCCCCCCAAGAGACAGTAAGTGGACCCTCTCCCAGGTCCCGAATTGGCCAGCAACTTGATCTTGGACTTCCCAGCCTCAGAACATCAAGAAAAAACTTCTGCTGCTTCATCCACTCAGTCTTCGGAATACGTTGTAGCAGAATGAGACACTCATACAGGTGCCGAAGTCAGGCAAGTGATCACATCCTGACCCCAGCTCTACAGTTCTGTGACCCTGGACAAGCTATTTCATTTCTGTCATCCACCATCTTCTTGTCTGTAAACCACTGATAACAAAAGCTGGATGAGCTGGTGTCTGGAGCTGTCTGGGACACAGCACCCCCACCAGCAAAGCCGCCCCTGGCACCTTATGCAACGGGTAGCTTGCTGGCCACACTCAGCCCACAGATGTATTTTGTTTGGCCTGCATCAATGTTTGGAGAAATTTGGACTATTTACGAACACTTGAAAGTCAGGAAATTTCACATAAAAATCTCAATTTCCGGTTCTTCTTGAGAAATAAGATGAAACATCACTGGACCTAGGTTCCCACAGGAGAATCCCCTCTGGACCAAGGGCAGGACCCCACTCCATGCACCCAGGCCAGCTCCACCCATTTACAAGACATGCTTGGCACCTCAAGAGATCCCAGGGCTGGTGAAATCTGGCGTGGCCTGGACTTTTCCTTGCAGCTCATAAATAGAGCTTTTAAGTACAATTTCAGGATCAGTCTCCCAAAGTGAGGAACAATTAGCACATTCCTAAGTCTCTGTTTTATTTATTTATACTTCTATTGGGAGCTGAAGAACCTTAGGAAAGGCCAGACTCTCAGTCCTTGGAGTAAAATGAGCTCTTGCAACAGGGGCTGGTGACCAGCTCTGCCCCTGTTGCTTACCTTCTCAGGCCTCAGTTTCCTCTCCAATAAAATGAGGCCTTGGGCTGGATTCTCTTTCCTCTGTCTCTTTTCACATTTATGTAATTATGACGTGAAATTCAAGCACATGGATGGAAACGTAAAACAACTCTGTTTACTGATGAGCTGCAAAGGTTTTAGTGAGAGGAGAGCTCTTCAAACACACTACTGACCTCAACACAGGCCTGGACTAAATGGAATCAGGGCCCCACAGTAGCCTGTCTGTTGCTGTGCCCACTCCGGGGTTGGGTCATTACCCTTGACGTTCTAGGCTTAACATACCCAGAGGGAAATGGACACCAGGGCATTAAAAGATGGGCTGGAAGCCAGGCGCAATGTCACACGCCTGTAATGTCACACTTCAGCTCTCAGCTACCTGAGATCTGAAGTGGCAGGATCATGAGTTCAAGGCCAGCCTGGGCAACATAGAGAGAGCCCCATCTCAAAAATAAAATGATATAAAATAAAGATCAACTGGTTCAACCTTCTATCTTTAGCAGAGTCTGATGAGCCCCACCTGATTTTCTGCCCCCACTTCAAGACACAAACCCAACCACACTACCCAACTTCTGGTGCTTTCTGCACATGGGCCCTCTTTCAGTTCCTTGCTCACTGCAACCACAGGACCTTTGCACCTGCGGCATCCACCACCTGGAACCCTGTTTTCCTAGTGAACTGCCGCTGACCCTCAGATCACAGCATAAGCATCACCTCCACCATCCCTGGCCTCCCTGGCAAGATCACATCAGCTGTGTTGAAGCAGCTTTCATTGTTACACGTTGACATTTTACATGTGTGATTAGTTGACACTAATGATTATCTCCCCAACTGAACAGAAAGTTCAGGAAAGCAGGGTTCACATCTGTCTTTGCTCTATAGTACCTGGCCATCAGTGGGGCACTCAAATGTTTGCTGGTGACTTCCTTAAGGAAAGGTAGGAATGGCAATAAATTCCGAGCAGTCTGGTTCCAACCACCAAGTCGTGTGGGCTACTATGGTGCCTAAGGGCTCAGCAGAGCACAGTAAGGATTTGCAGAATAAATCACAGCTACCATCTACCAGCCTCTAACCCCAGCCCCACAAAACACTCTAGATGCGTGAACCTTCTCTGGATCATAAGTCTAGACAGAGAAGGGTCTCAGAACTCAACGGCCATGGGAGCAAGATAATAGCTGAGAGAAAAACCAATGAGAACCAAACAGGAAATAAAACAAAACAAAAAACATAAGCGAAGGCCCCAGCTCAGGTCCACGAGGCCTGGGTGTGTGCACCACATACCTGATGTTTTCATTCAGGACATACAGCTCGTTGCTCTGCAAGCCGCCCCCTTTGAAAACGTTGATCACGGCTGTCTGGACACTGCAAGAAACAGAGACAACTCCTGGTTAGACCATCTGCCTCCCGGGGCCATTTCCACAGCGGCTGGGAGCCGAAGGCAGGTGGCAGGGCCAGGGAGCCCATGGCACTAACAAGGCTAAGCCTTCTCTCTCTGGAATCCATCACTTCCTTCTCAGGGTCCTTCCCAGGGTCCTTGGGGAGGAAGGATGACTGAAGCCCAGGGGACTCAAGAGTGGCCCTCTCCTTCTTGCAGGTCATGTGGGTCTTCCTTCCTGGCCCTGCCGAGTGCCCACTGGTGAGCAGCAAAGGAAAAGGGCAGGCAGTGGGGTCTGTACTCAGGAAACTGTGGACAGCACCACGAGGCCTGGGAGAGTCCAAAGTGGCACCTGCTGCCTGCAGGAGCCGTCCCGAGCCGGGGTGCCTTCAGCTAGGGGGCCACTGTCTCCCCAGGGCAGCTTGGCGGCCTGAGGTTAATGTGAAACGAAGGTTCCCTGTCTTTCTTTGGGAGAATTTCCTGTGTGCTAGCCTTCTTGCCTGTTACTGTCCCCTCGAGGTGTACAAGCACTAGAGTTAGGTCCTTAAGGCCACAGTTAGGGCTTGAGGCCACATTCTCAGGGACCACAGCCCACTCTGACAGCCCAGGAGCTGATCATAATCTCGTCTGTGCCAGGAGATCTGGGCCTGTTTTAAAGCACAGGGGGCCACTTGGCACCAAAGCATTTCTGAGCCCCCACTTTACCCCGATCCGTGGAGCTGAGCTTCCTGTGTCCACTCATTAAAAAACTCCACACAGACCCAAACTATGTGACTTTAGTAATGTGCTGAAGGACCAAAGCATTGAATTTCTCCAAAGAGTATCTGCATAGGTGTGGATACCAAGCAGCCCACAGAAGCATAAGACAGTACTGGTGAGCCCTGCTTGGTGTGCAAGGTCAGCTGGGCACCTGCCAAAAGCTCTTGGTGTCCCCTCTCCTGAGCACCTGCCAAAAGCTCTTGGTGTCCCCTCTCCTGAGCACCTGTGGCAGGTATGACAACATTTGTCTCATGCCATCACTCAGCTTTTCACAGACACACATCCAATCTCCACCAATGGGTAGCAGGTTGACTCATGTGACTCCGTCTAGGTGTGACTGAGGGACGTGGACAGTAACTGTAAATTCCAATCCAACTGTCCTGGCTGGTCAACCGACTCTGACAGGCCAGGGCTCGCGGGAGTCTACTTTATCACCTCAAACAGAGCAAGCTCACAGATGCGTGGGCCGTCCGGAAGCTCGCCCTCTTTGTCATTTGTCCCATCCATCACCACCACCTTCCAGAGCAGAGATCCCAGAAGCAGCAGAAACCCAGACAGTCCCCAGAGGTCCCCTGATCCTGGCCTGGCCATGGCAGCCCTCCGGCCCACCCCTGCGCTCTTTACCTGTTCCAGGCCGAGTTGGAGCTCAGCTGCAGGGCCTGCCGGGCAGCTTGGAACCGGGGCAGGTCGCTGAGCACCGGGGAGCTCATGAAGCGCGGTCTTGGCCTGCGGAAGGAGCCCATCTTGTGGAACTCGAGGGGCAGGATGGGAGTGAGGCCACGGGTCATAAGTCCTGGTGACGGGTCAGCTTCACCTGTAGGACCAGAGCGTTCCAGCTGCCCACAGAAGGGCTTCTGCCAGGGCTGCCTCCTGGCCCTCAGTCTTCCTTAACACCACAGACTCGGCCAACACCTGGAAAGAGAGGGCAGCCTTTATCCAGGACTCCTGGGGCAGAGGAGACCACATCTCACAGGACACTGGCCGGGACTGTCCAGCCAAACTCTCCCGAAAACAGAAAGAGCCTCTATTTGTCTCTTGTTCCCTTTCACAAGTTTTTACAGCCTTTATTTATTTATTTATTTTGGAGATAACCATGTGGTCACCCCAGGGTGGGAAAGCAGTGATCCCAGGGCCCATGAGTGCAGTCCCGTGAAAACCCCTTGCTGTGCCTGACTCTGGTCACCAAGCAGCAGGAGCACCACGAGCACCACCACCCGGGCTGCAGAACACACAACAGCGTCCACCAAGAAATGACGGCGAAGAAAACAACGCCAGCAGAACAAAACAACGCACCACCCACCAGCAAAAAAAACCCTCCACGACGCCTCCCGGCATACACAGATAGTGCACAATATCCCAAAAAAAAACAGCCCCCACTCCCACACACCCCTCCCCACAACAAGAGAGAGACACAGAGCGCACACTCGAGAAAAAAAGGTAAGATGGGAAGCATCCAAAGGTCTCTGAGACCTAGTTCCTGCCTCTACTCATGGTCTGTGGAAAAGATACCCGCATATATCTATCTGTGTACTCCTTCTGCAATAAAGATTTATTGAGCCCCCATATGTACCAGGCACTCGCTCGGGCACTGGGAGATACAAGGATGGCCCTGAGACCACGTGCCTGCCCCGTGAGCTCATGACCACCAGGAATTATTCCACACTTACTCCTGCTTCCTGGCTCTAGATCTTATCTATCGCCACCCCGCCACCCTGCCCGGGCCCAGAATTGTCTTTCTTTTGCTCTTTGCTTATCTAAATCCAACTTGTTCTGCAGGGCTGGGTCCCAGAATACTGTTTCCCTGTAGCAGCTCAGGAGAGATTTTATGGTTTTGTGGTTAGAGGGAATGACCCTGGGTTCAAGTCTTAACTTGGCCGCTCCCAAGTTGTGTGACTTTGGACACACAGAATCTAAAGTCCGCAGGCGTTGACAGTGCCAACCTCCCAGGACTCGGGGGAGAGATGAAATGAGATCAGGTGTCATGCCCAGCAGATCTAAGGGCCTCAAGGGCTGGCCATTTCCTCCTGACCTATCTTCCTCTCCTTGGCACTTTCAGATCTATAATTTCCACATCACTGTTTAATGAATCCAGAGTCTGAGTACGTGACTTGAAAGAATCTGAGTGAAAGACAAAAGCAGACACTGTGAGGTTCTATCTGTAGTTGCTTTTCTCTTAAGGTAGTCGGCTTAGCCCCGAAGTGTCAGCCACCCTTCTCATCAGCTAACTCTGAGGATGCTCCAGAAACTAATGATGAAAGCGGGATCCAGCCGACAGTGTCAAGCTTCAGGTTGGCAGGGCGAGACAGTTTTTCAGCCCCATCCGTAGCCTTTGAAGAAAGAGAACAGACGTGGCCAGGTCCAAATCAAACAAGACACTGGGGTTGGCAGAGGAGCTAGGCGGCTGGAGCAGGCCCCAGGGTGAAACAACTGGAAGGGCAGAGAGGTACTAGTGGTCGTCTGTACACAGTGGACACAGTGACAAAGCACCTATCCTAGCAAGGGCCAAAAGGGGCATGGCTGCTCCAGCCTTTTAACTTTTTTCTTGAAGGACAGGAGTCTTGTGTACCATTTTCTCTGATTGTCTTCACCCATGCTCAGAATGAGTCAGTGGTTAGTAAAATTGATCAACAGATGCAGGGGAAGCCATGATGGGCCTGTGAGCTTCTGAGAAGGTCTCGGTAACACCCCAAGTGCCACAGAATTCAAGACCTATGCCCACAGAGACAGGATGAAAAAAAAGCAGATTCTCCTTCAGGATCCTTAAGCAAGTCCCTCTGGGGATTTCATTTGCCAGCAAAGTCCCTTTGTCAAGACAGGACTCGTCTTGATGTCCTTCTTTCAACGGGCCTGTGGAGTGTGGCTCATCTGTGGAATCATGGACATTAACTCCCTTTACAAGGATCTTAAACCCGAGGTGTGGGAGGAGCCTCTCACTCCAAGGTCCTAGCACAGGGAAGCAGATGGTGGGCAGAATGGACATCCCCATGTTCACCTTCCACCTTCCCGCCCAACACCTGCTTGCCCGAGGACATTGAGACTCTGAGGGTCTCTAAGAATCCCTACCCCCTCCACGCTCGGCTTGCGCTCCCCGGGCTCCTCCCAGCCTTCCCAGGACCCAGCAAAGCACCGGGTGGCAGGTACACAGGGCCACCTTGCAAACAAGGGTGATCTTCAGCCCAAAGGACAATGGCCGCAGCTCCCACGCCTCCGAGGCAAGAGACCCACACAGCACGAGTGGCCTCTGACTTGTTTCTCAGATCCCAACTGGTTGAAGAGTGACGGCTCCGGCGGAGGTTGGGGGATGGAGGTGGGGGGGGGGATAATACTAGCTGAGGACTAAGCCACGCGGCATCACCAGAGCGCCCCCCAGAGGAGGGCGCTGGGAGCGCAGACAAGGAGGTCTAAGGAACGGACCTGTTGCTGTTCCCCAGCAAATATGACAAATCGGGAAATGCCAAGAGTCCAGCCTGTCAGGCCCCACTTACACAGGACAGAAGTGGAGCGAAGGAGGAAAGAAACTTGTCCAAGATCTCCAAGGTGCAGAGAACTCAGGTTCCCTAATGCCTGATCCAGAAAGTTCCCCCAGGCCCCTTGGAGGCCATTCTGTAAATTCTAAAAGATCAGATGGGTTAATTTACCTCCGACCCCAAGCCTGAACTCACTTCCTAGAAGAAAGATAAGAAGACAGCTTCAGCTGCCTGCCTGACACGATGGCAGGTGCTGTGGCAGCAGGTGAACTTACTCGCCCCTCACAAAATGCCATTTGAAGATGAGAGCAGTTAAGTAAACTCCCTGCAGTGGCACAGCTAATAGGTGGCGAATCATTGACAGGTGCCAGGATCAGCCCAACTCTCCAGACCATTCCCACTTGGCAATGCTGTCAAACTCATCAAACCAGAATCAAAGCTACTAAGTTAGGAACATCAGTCAAAAAGTTCATATCAAAATTACATATCATGCCCCTGAGATAAATAAACTGCTATAAGGAATTCTATGGCCACAATTGGTGGGGACAGGAGGAACAGTGAGGAAAAAGAATGACAGGAGAAAGCTCAGACTGCTTATTACCGGCTGGGTGGCCTTGGGCAAGTTACTTGACCTCTCTGAGGTCTGATTTTCTTCCACATGAAATGAGCATGCTAATAATGACTGCCTTGGGACTGTAGATATACAAATATATCTCTCAGTATCAGGCAAATAGCAAGTGCTCATAAGCTCTGGCTAAATAAATAAAATAACATTTTTGTTGTTTCTAAATCGCCAAGACCTGACCATGGTAGGGAAACATGCTTCTAATGCCTGGGGAGCAGGTGAGGCCTCCGAGCCCTGTGGTGGTCACAGCACATTCACAGCTAGCCTCTCAGGCCTGAGGTACCTCAGGACTTTATTCTAGTAGCATGCATGTCCTAAGGCCCATACCTCCGGGAGTCTAAATCTCACTCCAATCCCGTAGGGCAGGCAGAGCAGGCAGCCTCCCACAGATGAGGCCCAAGCAGGCGAGGTGGCCTGGCCAAGCCTGGAAAGCCAGTTGGTCAAGGACCCAGCCCAGCTGAGAGGCTCCAGCCTAACCTAGAGATTCCTTTTGTCTTTTTTTCCTGGTATATTTAAAAAATATATTTTCATTATAAAACACACTTGGAAAGCATCTGCACACATAAACACACAATAAATCACCACCAGCTTCAGAAATAGACCGCTCCCTTGGCAACCCCGTGTGCTCCTGTTTGGATAACAGCACACGTGCTTATTTATTATAAAAAATGCAAGTATTCACCCAAGTCTGTCACATCATGTGAAAGGCCTCTTTAGGGCCACTTAACAGCAGAGGGTACAGCTGGGCCCAGGAGTCCTTTCTGAGAGGACGGCAGTGATCCTCAGCTGGGCTCACCAACACCATGGCCACGGGCCCCACGAGCTAACAAGCACCTGAAATGTGGCTGGTGCCACGGAGACGGAATTTCCACTTTATTTAATTTTGAACAGCCACACACATGGGCACACACAATACTGTGGCCAGGATGGGCTATTTTTTCTTCCCTTTTTATAATACATCATGACTACCTTCTCGCATCAGTATATAGATCAATGGATTTCATCAGTTTGAATGGTAGCCTAACTATTCCACCTAGGGAATGTGTGTTTATTTAGCCAGTCCCCTCTGGACACATGTTTAGGAAGTGTTCAGTTTTTGTTATGGCAAAGAACACGCACATCTGAATGTCTTAAGGACCAGGTGACTGTTTTTGCAGAGTATGCACTCAGCAGTGGGTCAAAGGGCCAGTCATTCTTCACTGTGTGGCTCTGATCCCTGCCCCCACCACAGCCCAGATGTAGCACCGCAGGAAAGAGGTTGAGAGGCTAGGCCCCTAGCTCCCAAGATAGGCAGCACTGGCTGTCACTCAGGCTTGCTCTGTCACTCACTCACTGTGATAGGCAGAATAAGTGTCCTAAGAAATCCTTCACTTCTTAACCCCCAGGACCAGTGAATTTTACCTTATATGGCAAAACACGTGACAAAGTTAAAGACCTTGAGCCTTGGATTGTCCAAGTAAGCTCCCAAATGCAATCAAATACACCTTCATGGGGGATGGGGCTACAGAAGGACAGCAGAGAAGAGAGACAAGCATGGGGGAGGGGAGGCAATGTGAAGGCAGGCGGAAACAAGGACAATGCAGATCCAAGCCCAGGAATGCCAGCAGCCATCAAAAGATGAAGAGGGAAGAAACAGATTTTCCCTCTATAGTCTCCAGAGGATGAACAGCCCTAAAACACCTTGGTTCTGGACTTTGGACCTCCAGAACTCTGAGAGAATAAATTTCTGTTGTTTTAAGCCATAACAGTTGTGATAATTTGTTACAGCAGCCACCAGAAACTAATGCATTCACTATGTAGCCTTGGACCACTCTGATCTG